GCCTTTATTTTGTGTCCCGTGCCACTATTGGGCATCCTGTGCCTTGATTTCACATCCTGTGCCTTTATTTTGTGTCCTATGCTTTTATTTCATATCCTGTGCCCTGATTTCATGTCCTGTGCCTTTATTTCATGTTCTGTGCCTTTATATTGTGTTCTGTGTCCCTATTTCACGTCCTTTACCTTTATTTTGTGTCCTGTGCCTTTATTTCGTGTCCTGTGCCATTATTTTGTGTGTTGTGCCTTTATTTCGTGTTCTGTGCTTTTATTTCGCGTCCTTGGCCTTTATTTCGTGTCCTGTGCCTTTATTTCAGCAGAGCTGGGCTTTCCCCTGCCCTGCCCGGGGATGGCTGGGGGGGGAGGTTTGGGCAGTGCGTGTCCCTGCAAATCTTTTCCACCCCGGGAACGACTCACCTGGTTGCAAAATATCTGCTCTGGGTGTAGGACCGGGTTTTGATTGCCTGGGGCAGCCCGGGCTGGGATCAGGGCAGGAGCTGGACGGAGCTTTCCTGCTCTGGAGACCCCAAAGCTGCTCCGGGCCAGGACTGAGCCCTTGGTGGTTCCACAAGCACCGGGGAGGGAAGGAAGGAAGGAGGGAGGGAGGGAGGGGAGATGTTTCTGCTGCTCCAGGGATTTGGTTTTGCCCCCTGGAGCTGAGAAGGTGCCAAGAGCTGCAAGCCCGAACACTTTCAGGCAAAAAAACCTCTGATCTTGGTCACTTCAGGCTTTTCTTTCTTTCTTGGAGCAGCTCTTTGCCCTGGAGGGCAGCGCTGGGCTCGGCTGGGGGAGGAAATCGCTCTCGTAATGTCTTTTAAAGCTGCCCAGAATGTTTTTGATGTGCCCGGGGCTCCTCTCCTCGCCTGTGCCGTTCCATTCCCGGCTCCAGGAGCTGCCCAGCCCCGCACAACCTTCGTTTTCCTCCCGGTTTTGTGTTGTTGAACCCCCGGAGCTCAGCCTGGCCGTGGAGCACCCGGGGGATTACGGCCACGACCGAGCTCCAAATCCCCGGTGACCCAAATCCTCGGTGCCCTGGGGCACTGTGCCAGCAGGCACAGCCCCCCCGGCTCCCCCACCCCACAGGGAGGGTTGTTCCAGTCCCTTCCAGCATCTCCCACCCCACGGAGGTGGTCATTCCAGCCCCTTTGGTGTCCTCCACCCCGTGGAGGTGACCGTTCCAGTCAATCCAGCATCCCCAACCCCACAGAGGTGTTCCAGCCCCCCAGTGTCCCTCATCCCATGGAGGTGGTTTTTCTAACCCTCCTGGTGTCCTCCAGCCCATGGAGGTGGCTGTTCCAGCCCCTCCAGCATCCCCCACCCCACAGGGGTGGTCATCCCAGCCCTTTCCAGCATCTCCCATCCCACAGCAGTGGCTGTTCCTGCCCCTTCCAGCATCTTCCATCCCATGGAGGTGGTTTTTCCGGCTCCCCTGGTGTTCTCCACCCCATGGAAGTGGCCATTCCAGCCCCTCCAACATCCCCCACATCATGGAGGTGGCCATTCCAGCCCTTTCCAGCATCTCCCACCTCACAGAAGTGGCTGTTCCAGTCCCTTCCATCATCCCCCACCCCACAGAGGTGGCTGTTCCAACCCCCCTGGTGTCCCCTACCCCACACAGGCGGTTGTTCCAGCCCTTTCCAGCATCTCCTACCCCACAGAAATGGTTGTCCCAGCCCCCTTGACCCCCCCACCCCACAGAGGTGGCCATTCCAGCCCCTTCCAGCATCTCCCACCCTACAGAAGTGGTCGTTCCAGCCATGGACAGACCCGACGAGGTGGGAACACCCCCCAGCCTCTCCCGTAGGACTCTGGGGTGCCTCCCACCCCTTCCCCAGTCCCCCTGAGCAGTGTTCTCCCACCCCACGGACTGGGACATAGCTGAACCCGCAGCTCTCCCTCCCCAGCAGCTCCAAGCCCTCTAATTGCTCAGGCCCCAGCTTGACAGAGCGTTTACAAAGCACACTTGACTCCAGCCCAGCAATTAAACACCCTCGTAAATCCTGCCCAGGAAAATGAGCCTTAATCGGGGCTTAGGGCTCAGCCAGGTTCCTTCACCCCTTTCCCAGCCCCAGGGATCACATGCTCTGGCTGCTCTGGAGCCTTCCCGGGGCTCCACCGGCCCTTCCACAGCAGGGTCACCCTGAGGGGCCTCTCTGGGGGTTTTTGGAACAGTGACATCAGGGGCTTCCTCCCCCTGAGGTTGGTGGCAGAGTCAAGGGGGTCCCAGCTCTCCACATCTCCTTTGGGGTGGAATCTCCACTTGGAGCCTTTTCATCCTTTCCCTCAGGGCTGCTCAGAGTCCCCCAGGCCCCTGGTGGTCCCTCCTGGATGGAAGTTCTTCCAGAAGAAGAACAAACTAGAAGGGGAACAAACCCGTCCCTCAGTGCCCAGAGTTATGAGAGTCCTCAAAGCTCTGCAGAAAGAGGAAACTCTGGGCAGCCTGGTCCAGTGGAAGGTGTCCAGGGCGGAACTGGATGAGCTTTAAGGTCCCTTCCACCCCAAACCAGCCTGGGATTCAAGTACAACTGGTTTGGAGATGGAAGGGGCTCTGCAGAGACCTGCAACACCCCGTCAACCAGGTTCCCTGGGAGCAGGTGCCCACCCTGTGTCCCTCCCCTATCCTTCCACGGCATCTCCCTTACCAAACTGGAAGGCAAAGCCAGGAAACCAGTAACAAACACACCTGAGCTGCTCTTGGCTCCTGGCCAGCCCAGGTGAGGCCGTGAGAGGCTGTTTGCTCATTCACAGCCCGGCCAACAATGATTTATTCATGGCGTGCTGGGGGTGCCTTTGTTTGTCACCCTGACAGCTCCCAGAGGTGGAGCAGACACGAAGGTTAACTCAGACCCAAGTGTTTACTTTCCAAAGAGTTTGGGACAGCCAAGGAACAACAGCTGGGAAGAGGCAACAGCGGGAAGGAGGGAGGGCTCTCGACGCTCGTGGTGTCCAGGAACCTGGGAAGAGATAACCTGGCCAAACACCTGGATCTGGCTGAGCCAGTTCTTATTTTGTGTGGGAAAAGTTGGCATTAATCAGCTCCAACAGGTGACCAATGGTTTCTAGAGAGTCTTGCTGGGGCAGCTCTTTGGCCAGGTCGAAGGCTTTCATCCCCACCTCCCGGGCCTGGAATGGGACAGAAAGAATACACAGGGATTGTCAGGAATCTGCCTTTTCTCACTGGGAAATACCTGCCCAGGTTCAGTGGAGGAGCAGCCTGGAGCAGATCCAGGCTCCCTTTTCGAGGTGACCTGTACAAGCTGCTTTACAGGAGAGCCTAAAGCTGCCAGATCTCATATTTAGGATCCAGTGGTGCAGACAGAAGAGATTATTGACCCCAGCCCCCCATCCCAGACATCACCTCCCATCTAATGCAGCTCATCTGAACATTCCCAAAGCTCTTTCAGGGGAAAAAAAATCAGCTGTATTGACTCAGTCTGAACCAAATCCCTCATTTTCCTCAGCAAGGAACTAAATCGTTTCCCTTGGTAGCTCTTCTAGGGATTAGACATTCCCACAATTATAAAGCTTTGTCTTCTTTCTAATTTGAATTTGTTTCCTGGTGTCTTCCAAACACTCCCATGGCTGTGGCTTTCTCTGAGACAATGAAGAGAACATTAATATTTCAACACAGTGTTTTGCACCATCTGTATTTTCATTCCCCAAAACGCAGGCAGGAGAAACTCAGGGTTTTTGAGCTGAGTCTGAACAGAGGGGCCTGATTTCCAGATGGTTTCTGCTCAGCACTTCCTCAAAATCAGTTCTTGGTAAGGCACAGCCTGGAACCTTTGGAACTTTCAGCCAGAAAAATACAGGGGTGCCAATTCTAAACTGATTTACAGGCTGCAGTAGAGCCAACCTTGAACTCAGAGGAGTCTGGAGTGGGAGGCCCATGTCCTGCTCGCTGTGTGACACCTCACCTGATGCCTAAAGGCAGCCTGTGACAGGCAGTGACACTGCCAGGATAGCCCAGGGAAAGGATGAACACGGAGCATGTGGATAACTGCAGGACCTGCTGTGGATGGCAGAGAGCAAAACAGCTCCAGAGGGATTGTCAGCCTTGACAGGATGCAGGGCACAGAATCCCTGAGTGGTTGGCTTGGGAGAGACCTTAAAGATGATCCATTTCCACCCCTGCCATGGGCAGGGACACCTTCCACCAGCCCAGGTTGCTCCAAGCCCCGTCCAACCTGGCCTGGGACGTTCCTGGGGATCCAGGGGCAGCCACAGTTTCTCTGGGCAGCCTGTGCCAGGGCCTCAGGGAAGAATTTCCCCCCCAGTATCCCACCTAAGCCACTCCTTTGAAGCCACCACGTGCAGGTCTCTGAGGCAGCTTCATGCTCTGCCCCCCTCTCATGGGCTCGGGGGATGTCCCATGGGAACGAGTGTTCCAGGAGATGGAGTGACCCCCAAAAACACTCGGCCAACCCTTCCAGCCACAACTCACCTTCTCCAAATCCAGGTCCAGGTAGTGGAGCATGGCCAGGGCGTGCAGGACTCGGGCTGTTTCCTGGGGGAGCTGCTGCTTCTTCCTGACCCCCAGCAGGGCCTGCAGCACCCGCCTCGCTTCTTCCCCCTGGGCTTCGGCTGCGCGGGAACGGAAATATCCCGTGGGATGGGTGGATTTGGGCGAGGGAACACATTCCAAACTGCCCAGTTAGCTCTTCTAGACATAAAAGCCTTTCTGCTACAAACATCAACGCAGTCTGAGGGTGCTGAGGCCCTGGCACAGCGGTGGCTGCCCCTGGAAGTGTCCAAGGGCAGGTTGGGCTTGGAGCAACCTGGGCTAGTGGAAGGTGTCCCTGCCCATGGCAGGGGGTGGAATGGGATGAGCTTTGAGGTCCCTCCCAACCCAAAGCAGCCTGGGACTCTGGGATGCCGTGATCCCAGCTCCATGCACATTCCATGCCCATGAACAGAACTCTTTTTGTCTGCCAGTGATTGTGTTGATCAGCCTTTAGTGAGGATGTGGAGTCACAAAAACTGCAGGAGAAGAACAATTTTCCTACTCCTGTCACAACAAAGACAGTCTCCTGTAGCCCTGCCTTGGTGTGGTTCCTTCTTTGGGAACTCCTGATGGAGACAATGCCAGGAAATGGGACTCACAGAAATGTTCCTCCTAGAAGCACAGAATCCCAGACTGGTTTGGGTCGGGAGGAACCTTAAAGCTCCTTCCATTCCACCAGGGACACATTCCACTAGACCAGGTTGCTCCAAGTCCTCTCCAATCTGGCCTTGGACACTTCCAGGGATAGAAATTCCCTTCCCTGCCAATATCCTAGTTAGCACAGATGGTAGAAAGGAGACAAAACCCACTGTCTGCTCTGGCTTCAGTGGAGCTTGGAGTAGTACCAGGCTCGTTAATGCTTTAGGGACATTTATGTCCCACTGAGAGACCCCCCAGCCTCTTTCCCCTGAATATTCTCCTGATAACACATCCAATTATCAGGACAGGCTCTTCCATGGAGCAGCTCTCTGCTGCTCCAGGAGAGCTGTAACCCCACCTAAAGGAGGGGAAGTGTCACCTTCATTATTAAAGGGAGGCGAAGGAGCTGCAGAGAAATGAGAATGTTCAAGTCTCGAGTTGCACCAGGGGAGGTTTAGATTGGATATTAGGAAAAAACCTGTCATGGAAAGACATGTAAAGATTTGGAACAGGCTGTCCAGGGAGCTGGTGGAGCCATCACCTCTGGAAGAGTTCAGGAAATGTGTGGATGTGGCACTTGAGGACATGGGTTAGGAATGTGGCAGTGCTGGGGGAAATGGTTGGGCTCAGTGATCTTAAAGGTCTTTTCCAACTCTAATGATTCCATGATTCCATGATTCTATGAAGTGGAATCAAATCCTGAAAGGCAAAATCTTGCTGCAGTCACTGCCAAGGGTGCTGTGAAAGGGAGTGTGTGGACAGAGAGGGCAAAGCTGCTGTGCCTTGTGGAAAACCCTCATTCCTGAAGGTGCCTCGTGGCACAACCCACTGAACCCCAACACCCGGAACACCCGGAGCTCCCGCTGAAATCGGGCTCTGGGAATGCCACACCAACCCTAACACTGCCAACATGATCTGCAGTGTGCACAGACTCGTCCAAACCCCACTTTCCAAGCGGTTCTGGGGCAACAGCAGCTCTTACTCATGCCCTCCTCGGCCACCTCCTCATCGTCAGCCCACGGAGCCGCCTCGGCGCGGGCCCGGAGCCGCCGGAGCCGTCCCTGGTGCTCCTGCAGTGAGCTCAGCAGCCAGGAATGCCACAGCCTGGTCACCTGGCAGGAAGCACAGGAATTATTTCACTTGTGTGGGTACCTGGTATTCCTTGTTCTCCAAACAATGTCTCGGGCACGGCCGCTCCGCGTGCCGGCGGGTCACTGAGCCACGGCTGTTCCACGCCGGGATCGCTCCAGCTTCTCCCACACAGCCCCAGCTGGGACCTCATTTCTCCACCTGAGCACTGATTTTAACCAAGCTTGAACCAATCCAACCAAAATATTCACCATAAGTAAAGTCTGGGGGTGGATTGTGCAGCTCCCAAAGCTTGGTCTCCACAAAAATCGCCCTAAACAAACGAAAGCTCATTTCCCCTCTCCCCTCCCCCCAGCTATTAAATCAATTAGGTAATTAGATAATTCAGTTAGATAATTATCAATTAGATAATTCAGTTATTAAATCAGTTAGATAATTATTACTTTCCTCTCTTGATCAGTCCATTCTGAGAATCTTTTATCAGTGTGACTTTTCATTGATTCCCAGCATTAATTTCAGGTGGTTTGTGTCCTGCCCTTCACTGGCTTTGGAACCTCCTTGGAGACCCTCTCTCCTTTAACCTCTGGCACAGGGAATTTGAAGGCAAAGCTGCTTTTTGACAGGTATTTGGCTGCCCAAACTGAAGACATTTTAATTAACAACCCCGAGCACAGGATTAAAGTCTCCTGCTTTTAACTCGTAGAATTATTTAAGTATGAAAAGGGTTTCTGAGACTGAGCTTAAAAAGTTGTCATGGTCACCAGCATATTGATTAAAAGTTGGGAAAACATCGGAAAGAGCCCCCAAAAAACCTGAGGAATGATGGATTTTGGTTCTACCAACCTCAGTGTAGAGTGAGTTTGCCACATCCACTTTATTCTGGCGGAGGAAAATGTTGGCCATGTGGAAATACCCCCCAGAGACCTCAATGGAGTCCACTCCAAAGGCAGAAGTAGCAAGATAAACCTGAAATCAATATTAAACACCAAAAAAAAAAAATAAACCCCAGAAGTTTAATGTTCATGTCAAAGCTGAAAAGTTTTTCCTTATGGATTAATGACGTTGCAGGTGCTCAGGTTTTGTCGTGTTGTACCTGGTTGGGATTGGAAAGTGTGGTGCTAAAAACTGGATTTTGGGGTTTGTGGAGAGGGAGAAGGTACTAAAAAGTTGGATTTTGGGGGGGTTATCCATAGGAGACATGTATAAAACCCTGTATTTTGGGTTATGTAGAGGAATGAGGTATTAAAAAACTGGATTTTGGGGTTTATCATGGGAGTGAGGTACTAAAAAGGTGTGTTTTGGGGTTGATCCATAGGAATGAGGTATAAACCTCTGTATTTTGGGGCTATCCATAGGAATGAGATATCAAAAAGCTGCATTTTGGGGTTGATCCATAGGAATGAGGTACTAAAAAGGTGTTTGGGGGTTCTGTAAAGCAATGAGGAATAAAAACTGTATTTGAGGTTCTGTAAAGGATTGAGGTATCAAAAACTGTATTTGGGGGTTGTACAAATGAATGAAGTACTAAAAAGCCATATTTTGGGGCTGAACCATAGGAAGGAGGCATAAAAAGCTGTATTTGAGGGTTCTGTAAAGGAATGAGGTACCAAAAATTGTATTTGGGGGTTGTACAAATGAATGAGGTATAAAAGCTGTATTTGGGGTTTATCCAGAGGAATCAGGTCCTAAAAAGCTGCATTTTGGGGTTTCTCCTAAGGGATTAGGTCCTAAAAGCTGCACTTTGGGGTTATTGACAGGAATCAGGTCCTAAAAAGCTGCATTTTGGGGTTATTGACAGGAATCAGGTCCTAAAAAGCTGCATTTTGGGGTTATCCACAGGGATCAGGTCCTAAAAAGCTGCATTTTGGGGTTATTGACAGGAATAAGCTGCATTTTGAGGTCAATCCAAGGGAATGCAACATCCCAACCCCGCCTTTTCCTGGGCCAGAGGAACCTTTGGAACGTGTTCCCCTCAATCCAGGGCAGGTTTCCCACCTCTCCTCACCCCTGTGCCCGTCCCACCTCTCCCAGGTCCCACCCTGCTGCCTTCCCAGCCCTGCTGGAGCCCCTGGAGCTGGGATTGGGAAGGCACTGGTGCATTCCAGCTATTCTGAGCCGGCGTGTGACTCTCAGCAGATCCTGGACACGCAGCCAAAGGTCCCAGCAGCTCCTGGGCTGCTCCAACCTGGGACAGCCACTTGCTAAGAGCATAAAACTTCATTACCTGGTGCCTTTTCAGGCAGCACATTCAGGAATCTTTGAAACAAAAAGGGATTTTGGGGAATGTCCCGAGCTTCCCTTTGTGGGAATCTTGAATTCCCAAAGGGTTTAGAGCGTAAGAAAAGACTGGGTTGTGTCTGTTAGAATGGAAAGGGTCTGATTCTTGGCCCTCATCCCTGACACCCACACAAAGCCACTATCAAATTCCCCAGGAGTGGGGAGCCATCACTCGGCACAGGATAAATTTAGTCACCACGGGACAGAAATAGGATGTGGAGAAGTTCATCTGGCTTTGGAGGATCAAATGGCAGGCAAAGCATCCCCAGGAACACAGCTGGCAACCCCCACTTCCAATGTAACAAACTGTTCTTGTGGCTCAAAAGGTTGAATTGGGGAAATTCAACCCTGGAATTGGGTGATTGAACCAGATACTGAAAGAGTTAAATGAGGCATTAATTAAATGTTGGCTGAAGATCTGGGAAAGTACTGAGGGAAATAACAGTCAAAATACGAATTATCTGTGGGATAAAAGGTGACAATATGAGTTTGAGGCAGGAATGTCTGGGCATCTCAGCAGAGCTGATGGAAAAATTTAAAGGGAGAGAAGGAATGTGACAAGGACACGAGGAATGTGACAAGGAATGAGACAAGGAGTGGCTGAGGGAGCTGGGGGGGCTCAGCCTGGAGAAAAGGAGGCTCAGGGGGGACCTTCTCACTCTCTGTAACTCCCTGACAGGAGGGGGGAAGTGGGGGGGGCAGGCTCTGCTCCCAGGGAACGAGGGACAGGATGAAACGGCCTCAGGTTGTGCCAGGGGAGGGTCAGATTGGATATCTGGGAAAATTCCTTCACAGAAAGGGTGGTCAGGCACTGGCACAGGCTGCCCAGGGCAGTGGTGGAGTCCCCATCCCTGGAAGTGTTCAAAAAACCCGTGGATGGGGCACCTGGGGACGTGGGTTAGTGGTGGCCCTGGCAGTGCTGGGGGAACGGTTGGACTCGCTGATCTCAGAGGGGTTTTCCAACCTCAGTGATTCCATGATTCTCTGTCACTACACAGGAAGAGGGATAACTGGTAAAACCCAGCTTTGGCTCCCACATGGACACACCAGTGTCTTAGATCCATCCAGTTCAGGTTTTTGGGATGTGAACCCTCTCGGGATCCCATATTTGCCTGCCGGGGTTTCCATATCGACCCGGGAGGAGGGAAGGAATCAAATCCAAGGTGTTCCTGTATTTCGGGGGACTCACATCAGTGGCCAGGTGATACAAAGCCTGGTCAAGGTTTCCTTGAGCGATACAGAACAGCCCCAGCCCACGGTGTAACCTGGACTGGACAGCAGCAGGGCAGTCTGGGCTCTGCAGGACGATCCACTCGGCCTCAGAGAGGTACTTGGACGCCTGTCGGAGATTCCCAGTGCCTGGAATGACATGTGGAAAAGAGCAGGGAGATAAGAAGGATAAAGAGCATTTTTTTTAATCTGGAAAGTCAGAGGATTCCTGCCTGCTGTCCCTTTGGGTAGTTCCACGTGGGGATGGAGTTTGGGGATTCCCCACTTCTCTCCCGTGTGCTCCTGAGCTGCCCATGTGTCCAAAGGCTCATTTACACCCAGGCTGGGGGTCAAGAGCTACAAGAGGAGCCAGAAACCACAGAATCCCAGGATGGTTTGAGTTGGAGGGACCTTAAAACTCATCTCATTCCACTCCCTGCCATGGAATAAAATTCCAGAATTCCAGGATGGTTTAGGTTGGGAAGGACCTTAAATCCCACTCAGTGCCACCCCTGCCATGTGCAGGGACACCTTCCACCAGCCCAGGTTGCTCCAAGCCCCGTCCAACCTGGCCTTGGACACTTCCAGGGCTGGGGCAGCCACAGCTTCTCTGAGCAACCTGTGCCAGGGCCTCACCACCCTCACAGCCAAGAATTCCTTCCCAATATCCCAGTCTAGGTCAACTCTCTTTCAGCTTAAAACCATTCCCCCTTGTCCTCTCCCTCCATCCCTTGTCCCAGGTCCCTCTCCAGCTCTCTTGGAGCCACTGGAAGGGGCTCTAAGGTCTCCCTGGAGTTTCCCTTCCCCAGGCTGAACCCTCCCAGCTCTCCCAGGCTCTCCAGAGGGTTTATTGCCCTGAGTATCCCTGGGACACGTTTCCCAAACAGGTTCACTCCATGACTCGCACGCTATCACACTGCAATTACTCATAGGAATTTTTTTCCCCTGCTCTCACTACAGCATTTAGAACGAGCCCTGAGCCAGCCCCGCTCTGCCAGCAGGGCATTGTGTGTTCCTGGAATGGCAGTGATTTACACGGAGCTCTCAGCCCTTTGCCCACGGAGCAGAGCAACTCCCATGCCCTAATTTGCCGTGTTTTCCAAAGCACACAATGAGGAAAAGCTCTGCTCAGGCAGAGCAGGATTTGTGAATGGACCGGGGTGTTCCTGGGGTGCAATGGCCTCAGAGAAAACCTTCCCTGAGATAAAAAGCACAGCCAAGCACCCTCGGGAATGTGATGCTTCAGAGTCATCCGAGGTCACAGAAGCGAAGAGCAGACTTTCATTCGGCTCCTCTTGTGGGAATTGGAGGAGAGGGAGCGAAAATTCCAGTTGCTTTCATTGCTTCTCTTCCCCAGCCCCGCAGAAAGGGGGTGTGAGGAGGGTGTGTGTGTGTGTTTGGCACTTCTCGAATCTCCCCGCAACGTCCTTGAGGCAGAGCAGGGCACAGAGCCGGCCCTTCCCTGATAAATGGGAAAAGGAAACCAGAAACCTGACCCCCAGGAGGCCTTGCCCTTGCCAGGGGTTGGATTCAGACAATGCTCACCCGTGGAGGCCTCGGCCAGGAGGAGATAAACAGGCACCAGTTGCACGGAGCTCCAGCCGAACACGCGGGCGCTGAAGCGAAGGGCCTGCAGGGCTGCAGGGAGGGCTTCCAGGGCCTTCCCTTCCCAAAGGAACCTCTGGGCAGCACTGACAGCCACCTCCACGATGGACTTCTGCAGGGAAACACAGGGCAGGGCAGAGGGAGAAAAGAGGAGAGAGAAAAATCACGGAATCACTGGTTTGGGTTGGAGCGACCTGAAAATCCGTCTTGTTCCATCCCCTGCCACGGAACAAAGTCATGGAAGCCCAGACTGGTTTGGCTTGGAGGGAACTTAAGGCCCATCTCATTCCACTGCCTGGCATGGAATGAAATCATGGAATCCCAGACTGGTTTGGCCTGGAGGGACCTTAAGGCCCATCTCATTCCATCCCCTGCAGTGGAATAAAATCATGGAATCCCAGACTGGTTTGGGCTGAAGGGACCTGAAAACCCATCTCATTCCACCCCCTGCCATGGAATAAAATCACAGAATCTCAGATTAGTTTGGTTGGAGGGACCTTAAAGCCCATCTCATTCCATCCCCTGCCATGGGCAGGGACACTTTGCACCTGCCCAAGTGGCTACAATTGCACAGCCTTCTTTTTAAATCAAGTTTTCAGACTCTAAAGCAGTGATTGTAATGCAGTTTGTGGCTGTAATTAATAGGCAGACATTAAAGCTGTCATATTAGAGCATATTAGAGCATATTAGAGCTTGGCTTCATTCCTGCTCCGAGCAGGAACAGCTTTGGCCATCCCTGTAGGTCATGTGGTGTCTTCCAGCATGAAGAATCCTTTACTGCTCCTGACAAGGGCTCATAAGGCTGAGCAATAAAAGCTGTGAAGCACAGAAAATGATCATCACAAGACTAGAGCAGAGATCAGACAAAGGGGCTCCGCCGGGCTCTGCCGGGAACGCGGCTGACTCAGAGGCAGCGGAGCAGCTCCGGTGGTGCCAGCCGGGCACAGCTCCGGCTGCCAGAGCTGGGGAGCCAGGAGAGAGCTCCTCACACAGAGTGCAGCTTCATCCCACCCTCTCCTGGCCAGCTCTGGGCTGGTGCTTTGGGTGCAGAGGCTGGAAATGGGTCAAGATTCAAAATCCCCCCCCAGGGTTTGCGGGGCAGCAGCGTCTGGGTTGGTTGTCAGAACCTGTAAGTTATCCTGTACTTATCCATGTCTGGCTCCTCCCTGCCTTTTGCTGCTCCTGCCAGTCCACACCATTTGGTCTTTTCACCCTTTGCAGCATCTGCTGTGACCCCCAGCTCCACAAACATCTCCATCCAAATGCTGCTCCCTGCCAGGAGTGTGGATGCTGTGCCCTCACAGGGAAAAAGAGCCAGGATCCTTGGAGAACCCCAGAAAGGTTTGGGTTGGGAGGGACCTAAAGCCCATCTCGTTCCACCATGGGCAGGGACACCTTCCACTAGACCAGGTTACTCCAAGCCCCATCCAGCCAGTTCCCAACACTTCTCCATCAGCTTTTCCCACCAGTGGTGTTGCAGGGAAGCTGCCTGGGAAGCAGCGGGATGGGAGAGAAGCTGCTGTGAAGCAGTGGGATATCAGGAAAGCTGCCTGGGAAGCAGTGGGGTGGCAGGAAACCTGCCTGGGAAGCAGTGGAGCTGCAGGAAAGATTCCTGGGAAGCAGTGGAATGGCAGGAAAGCTGATGGGGAGCAGTGGGATGGCAGGGAAGCTCCCTGGGAAGCAGTGGAGCTGCAGGAAAGCTGCTGGGAAGCAGTGAGAGGCAGGAAGGCTACTGGGAAGCAGTGGGATGAGAGGGAAGCTGTCTGGGAAGCTGTCTGGGAAGGAGTAGGACATCAGGGAAGCTGCCTGGGAAGCAGTGAGATGGCAAGGAAGCTGCTGGGAAGCAGTGAGATGGCAGGGAAGCTGCTGGGAAGCAGTGGGATGGCAGGGAAGCTGCCTGGGAAGCAGTGGGATGGCAGGGAAGCTGCTGGAGAGCCCTGGTAAGTCAGTGAGGCTCTGACTCCCTGGGCACCACAGAAAATACCACTTCACCTCTTCATTACCTTCTGCCTCCAGCTGGGGCTAAGCTGGGCAGAGAAACCATTCCCAGGGCTCCTGGAGGCCAGGCTTTGGCATTTTGCTGAGCTCCAAGTGCTCAGAGTGAGGCAGAGAGGGTCATGCCAGAGGTGAAGGAGCAGCTCAGGGACAGGGAAGCTCCAGGACAGCCCAGGAGTGTTTCCTGGAGATCCTGGCTGAGGTAAAGAGACACTGGTTTGGATAAATGAGAGCTTCAAAGAACACAGCCCAGAGCAAGAGTCCCCTGCCAAGAGCTGGAAAACATAGCAGCCACCCCTGAGCTACCAGAATATGGAGAGGGAAAAGGAAGGTTTTCCAGAGAAGCCGTGGCTGCCCCATCCCTGGAAGTGTCCAAGGCCAGGTTGGAGCAATCTGGGCTAGTGGAAGGTGTCCCTGCCCATGGCAGGGGGTTGGAATGATGGTCTTTAAGGTCCCTCCCAACCCAAACCAGTCTGGGATTCTATGAAACCCAAACTGCATCCAGGGAGCACGTGGTGCCCAGGGCAAAGCCAGGACATGCTTGGGGCAGCAGCAGGAAAAGCTGGTATTTCTCAGGCTCCTTTTTCCATCTGTGCCAGGCTGGTGCAACCAGCAGGGCCCTGGTACGTGGGCACAGCCCAGATTGGCATCTGGGAGGGGCTGGAGATCGGGATCATTCCTTTTTTTACTCCTTGTCGATGGGATCATCTCTGCTTCCCAAGAGTGAACTATCTGAAACATCTGCAGAGCTGGGGGTTGGACTCTGGCACAGCTTCCAGGAGGTGGAGGAAGGGCAGGAGGCAAGAGGAGCCCTGGAGCCCTGAATATTTTCTACCACAGTTCCAAGCCTGGGGGGGACCATTCCCTTTGGCCTGAACAACCCCGGGGGAATCACTGGATCATTCCCTTTGGCCTGAACAGCCCTGGGGGGATCACTGGATCATTCCCTTTGACCTGAACAGCCCTGGGGGGATCATTGGATCATTCCCTTTGACCTGAACAGCCCTGGGGGGATCATTGGATCATTCCCTTTGACCTGAACAGCCCTAGGGTGATAATTCCC